GGTTTGTATGAGATGTGGATCGAAGTGCGCAGAGCGCTGCAGAGAAGGGTTGGAGAGATGGAAAGGCTGCCTTCAGAAGCCTATAGGCCTAGCTGGAGGCTCTGCCAACCAACAATAGCTTCACGCTCTCATATTTTAAAATCAAAGCTTCTCTAATTGCCTAGTACCATTTCACGGGGCAGTGTGGTGGTTACCCTGGGACTGGGATCCGCATGGTCAGCAGCTCCTCGGGAGAAGGACTGGGCTTTCTATTCCTGTCAGCAGTGATTGTCTCCAAAACCCCACGGGGTCAGCATGACTGGATGGCAGTGAGTGTGGTTTGGGGTTTGGGGGACCCTGGTATAAGCACCTCGCAGAGGCCAGTGGTTTCTTCTCCGTCAATGCACTCACTATTTACTTAATGTACGTAGCTTCTGTGTTAGACACAAAAGGGGTAAGATAGCTACAATCCTTGTCCTCACAAGCTTATATTCTAGAAGCCTGTACTCGACACACAAAAGATATATTCCCTCCCATCAAGAAGGGGGAATTTTCATAAAAGAGACCTTGCTCATCAGGGACCATCAGGGACCATCAGAGACCATCAGACAAGGCATATCATATCCACTTTGGGAAACTGCCCCAGAACTGTGATAGTCACCACTTGGAAGACCCTTTGCAATTTGGGGGTTAAAGGGCAAGATTCGACATGAAAGATCCCAGCTGAAGTGAAGGTTGCCATTGTAATCACCTGTATGGAAAAGGTGCACTAATCAAATCGTCAACAGCTGCCATTTGGGGACATTGGTTATCCACCAATATCCAGGGGCTTTACTATTGTTCCAGAACTGGTCTTTCAGCCATTGGCTACATCTAACACATACCCAGAAGGAAGGTGTTTAAAGCCCTGGGCTTCTTATCTCTCGTGTAAAAGCAACTGCAGTGGGGCCTCTATTAGGCAGGTTAAGGTTGTGGATGTTAGTAGAGAGTTTGCAGAGGCATGCATGTATCATATACTAAGGTGACCTTGAGTTTGAAATCTTCTAGAATGCACCCTGAGCTCCTGCTGGTTTGTCTTCATTAGTGAGATTTTGTTTTCCTGACACTTTACTTGTGCTAAAATATTCATATTTTAGGCTCTTAAGAAGAGGCATGTATGATTCATGGGATAAATGGCAAAAGGATTTGCCGGCATTATCAAATTAGCTTTGCATTTCCCTGGCCTTCAAAATGCTCAAGTGAAGCCTGGAATTTATCTATAAATATTGAAGGCCTATTCTGAGTGCAATCAAACATGCATAGGGTTCCAATATGTCCACGGACATAAATTGGCCCCAGAACAGGTGCCCAAGGGGCACTAACCGAAGTTCCATTGGGTGGATGTCCTCTGATGACCTTTGCAGGACATCTGAAGACGTGGTTCTCTGCTCCTGCTGAGCCCCCTCTCCTCTGCGAGACAGACGCAGGGAGG